TTGCTCTAGAACCATTTTCTTGCTATTTTCTTCCTTGTTTGCTCCCGGATACTTCTTTAATCAATCCAAAGGCCGTTTCTTCATCAAATCTTCGCCGTGAACCTTTCAGTGGCCTCCAAAACTCTCAAATCTCTCTCGAATGTTGTCCAACTCTTCCCGATTGCTTCTCTAAGCGCCGATGTCGGTCTCTAACTTCTTCAAATCAACTCCAAATGCAATGAAACTCGATCCAACGCGTGCTAAACACAACTTGAGCCAAAATTGAGACTTGCAACGCCTTAAAGCCAGGAAAACCATCAAAATCCGACCCGGACACGCATCAAATGCGTGTCTAAATACGGACTTATCAATCATCTCAACTCGTGCATGCACAAGTAGAATTTATCTAACTCGTTAAATAAAAATAATGATTTGTCAAAAAAAATAACGAACATGATAGTCGATTCATATTTGTGAAGAGACATGTTTAGATTATTAAGTAGAAAGAAGTGGGTTGCTAAGTGCAATTTAAAATAGATAATGTATATGAACAAGTGAGATAGTCATTAAGTAGACATTAAGAAGACATTGATTCTGAATGTATCTGGTAATTGAGTATGAATAACAAAAGTACATTAACTGAAACTCCAAAAACCATGACAATTAAGTATGAATAACAAAAGTACATTGACTGAATTTATGAACTATGGATCTACTAGAAATCCTAAAATGCTTCTAGTTATGCCCATCTTTCTTATAATGTGAACACTATTGCCGCTGTCAAGGAGCAAACTCTCTATCTCAAGGTATACACTTCTTTTTATGTCAACCGTGTTGGCGGGTGAGCATATAGGTAGATTGCACGTTATGGACTGCATCTAATCAAGAAGATCTGATTCAAAGTAAGAACCAATATTGGAGATGTCATCGTAACACGATAATCCTCGATGTTGACCTGCATTGGCAACACCCTGAGCATGTATGAACTACTCCGGTTGAAACTCGCGGCTTAAGATTGTTTTGTCTTTGAGATCAACAAGTTGACTTTGATTTAATATAGTTTTTATACTACGTAATTGTAAACTTTGTGTAGATTTAAGTGGTAACAACTTCACACAAACAGAAATCCATACTAGCTAATTAGGTTACAACGGGGCGGGGCGGGGCGAGGCGGACCCCCCCCCCCCCCCCCCGGCATGGGGCAGGTCACGGGTCAACAAGTTTGGACCTGTGCGGGTCACGGGGCGGGGTGGGTCCACCCAGTGAAGGCACGGGGCGGGTCCGAGTCTTGCAGTACCCACCCCAACCCATTGCCATGCCTATCAACAACCACACTTCTAGATGCTGCTTTGTCTACCACCTAAAACTCATATTGAGTAACACGCTTGCCCTAAAACAAAATACACAACACAAAAAGTAAGTACAAAGTGAATGTAGATAATGCAAATAATAGAAAAACAAGAATGTAATTTGAAATATACACTTTTCTATATGCATTTCCATATTGGTGTTTGTTGATATCAGGAACTATATCAATTGTGGCTTGATGGTGGGGCCTTCTCTAACATTATATTGAGAGAGCATGCATAACCACAACTAAACTTGGAAAACAACAGACAATACATAGACAATAAGTAGTTAATAAATGAACAATAAATTTTTATAATATTATAATAGCAGAGCAGGGAACATAAATCACAATATATGCCGTTCACAATATTCAATGATCAAATTGCCTCAAGACGCTGTCGAGAAACTCCACGATTAATATATGTAGGTCATTGTTAATCAAAAGGTCAATTGAATATGTAGAACATTGGATGTCACAACCCTAGGTCTGTACCCATTTATGGTGCCCTAGAATGCTTCTATTTGTATTCCGAAAATTAGAGTATCAGTGAATCCGTAGTTATCGATTCATCAGTAGTAGAATTCTTTGTCGAGGTCCGCCAGAAGGTAGCGGATCGATGTATCTGTCCAAAACTGATTCGAGCCAGAGATGTGAAGCGACTGTGTTCGCAATGCATTTGGCGAAAGAGATGAGTTGAGCCGGAGATGTGAAGCGGTAGTGATTTGGCGAGAGAGATGAGGCTGGCTGGAGAGATGAATTTGGGGGGTTCTTAAAATGAAGTAATAGAGTGAAGGGTAAAATTGGAAAGCAACAATAATAAGGTTTGCTAAAATAGAGCTAAATAAATCATACGTATGGAAAAAACATGGTCAAGTCATACTTTTGTAAACTTCATACTATTTAGTTTTATGCAGGGCAATTTTCATGTAGTTATTGGGGCACCGTACTTACTAAGCATATTATTAATTGGACTATTTTAGTGAGAAAATTGTCCAACATAAGACCAAAACTCAACCTTTTTCCCAAAATAGCACCACATGTATGTTTTTCCCTAAATAGGACTAAGCTTGCCTTTTTTACCCCTAATTCTATTTAATTAATTAATTGATCTAAATAATTGCCCCCCTCCCCTAGTTTCCTTACACAACCAAAGCAGTCCGTTGGTGGCAGGGAAGTCCGTGATGGTGGCAGCACTGCGGCAGCGGTCGGCGGCGCATTCCGGTGGCGGCGGCGAACTCCAGCAACTAATTAACCCAATTAATTGCTCCCCCCCCCAGTTCTCTTGCACAACCAAGGCAGTCCGTTGGTAGCGGGGCAATCTGGTGGTGGCAGTAGCTCGGTGGCGGATTCCGACAGTGGTGGCGAACTCCGGCTGCGGCGGCAAAAATCTGGCAGACTGCCAGGAAAAAAAATCTGGAATTTTCCGGCAGTGCTCCGGCAAGATTAGTTTAGGTAGTTATAAAAATTTGGATCAAATCAGACCAAATAAAATTTAGGTGGTTATAAAAATGAGAATACACATCTAATTGACCGAACCAGTTTAGACCAAATCAGACAAGACTTAAACAGATTAGATCAGAAAACATTTCAATTGAAAATAAGAACAAATTCCACTTTTGATCCTACGAGTAATGCACCAATTGCACAATACAATTGCTCCACGTCTTTTATTTTGATCACTTTTGATAAATGGCTGTTATTTTCCCCTTATATATTGTCCTGGAAAAATCGCTGGAAAAGGATCACAAATTGACAACAAATATTAGTCAAGTACTAAAAAGGACAAATAAAGTTGAAGACGTAGACAAAATGTGGAATTGACATAAACTTCAAAGGATCAAAAGTGGAATTGATTCCGAAAATATTATCCAAGTAAAATACATATATACGACTGAAACAATAGAATATAAATTTACTTTTAAAGATGCAATTTATTGTATTATTCAAATGCGAAATCTTTATTATAGTATTTATCACACTTGAATATCTATATTAGCATGGTATTTCCTTAATTAATACCTCCTTTGTCCCTTAAAATCTTGTCATCTTTGAATTTTTTGATCAATCAAGTTTAACTTTGACCAATTATATATTTTTATCGACAATTATTTATAATAATATAAAAATGACATAAAAATATTATGTGTTAAAAGTACTTTCATAAAAGTATAAAATTTATAATTTCACAAATATTATACTAATCGAAATCATAGTCTAAATTTTACATCCATTAACTTGAGAAGACAAAGATGACAAAATTTTAAGGGACGTGTCGTATATTTCATCATTTTTTAGATTAAAATTTATGATATGTAACAACAATCCGACTAGATCAATGATAATAATAATAATAATAATCTTAGACAAACTATTTGTAATGCTACAAAAAACATTATCTTTATATAGTTATGATTTAAATGCAAATTTAATAACTTTCATGGATCAAAGAATATCTGTATGCAACGAATATCAATTAAAAAGAGTGATCATCCCATACAATGTACGAGTGGAAATACTAGTAAACATTAATCAAATACAAGCAATGAACAAAGTGAAATTGATATAAAATTTATAGGACCAAAAGTGAAATTAATTGTTTATGAATGCTTAATTCTGCTAAAGTTGTCGTATGTTGGACTAGATATAATCCTTATTAATTCAAAAGTATGAGTAAATAAATAAATGAACATAAGCTTAGGATGTTTTTACTTGGACTGCAATTTGTTGGTCTGATCTAGTCTGGTCTATTTAAATGTGGTATGGTCTGGTCTGATCTGGTCTGGTCTCTGTGTATTTTATAACTATAGAAGTTTGGTCTGGTCTGAACCAGTCTGATCTGGTAAGGTCTAGTCTATTTAAGTCCGATATAGTCTGGTTTGGGACTGATAACAGTCAAAGTAAAAACATTCTTAATTGGTGGCATGTGGAAGATGGCCTGCCAGCAATGAAAGTTGAAGAAGCGGGCGAGGGAACTTGAACAATGGTGTGATTCAAATTGGATTTATCTATCTCTCTATATAAATTCGGCTCATTAGTTTTTTTATTTAAAAAATGTGTCAAATCTCTTGTTGTTGCAATTAATATTACGCAAAACCTCCTACAAGAGTACATTTTTCGTCCAGGATTATTCGTCCGAGCTTGCTTGGCCTCCAACTCTGTCAAGCGATCATTCTGAGATCTCGTCATTCTAGCGGGACGGGATTCAGCAAGTTGGACCAATTGTTGAGAACAGAAAAATAAAAATTAACGGGGTAAACCGTTGCCTAGATAATCAACGAAAAATCCGTTGCCCTAAGCCAAAAGGCTGAAATCCAACTTTAATCCAAGATAAGCAAGAATGAACCTCAGTAAGGGGTATAAACAGCCTTCTAAGAGAAACTATAATCAAGCCCAAATTAATTAAATCCTAATTAAGCCCATACTAGCTCTACTAAAATACTCTACTAATAATATGCCCGGACTAAAAACATAACATAAACTTAATAATAACTATAATCTCAGCCCATAACTAGCCAACGGAAGTGGGCCCAATCCCGTTCCCGCCCCCTGCTCTTCCTGCTCCCTATCACACTACGAGCTCTGAATGTAAAATTCATATATGGTTTTGCCAAAGGTTTTAGAGATTGTGAGCAATGACCGTGTGACATACCTCACACAACAAACTGAGAACTGACCAAATAGTCAACAATTGATTTAAATAGGCAAAATAAGTGTCCCAAACTATAACAGATAGCATGCATGCATAATTGCATAATGTATTCCCCAATAACGGGTATATATCCTGAAAACCATTGCGTAATTCACAAATCATCATAATCAGCTCTAATAAGCTAACCAAATAGTTTTACAAGTGAGGTGAGCCTTTTTCATCCTTGGCACTTTTTCTGGGGAATCTTCCATAAATTGAATTGCTCCCCCATTTCATGCCTCTACAAGCGTCCTGAAGATGGATTCACACAGACCGGAGTCAAATATGATCAGATGGCCTCCAGTAGGAACTTCATGGTACCGAATCCATGAAAGTTCTTCAGATATATGGCGATTGATTGCTGATGGGATGATCCTGTCTTCTTCTCCTTGCCAAATGTGGACAGATCCCTCATTGTTGGGAAATGGGTTAGCTAAATCTAGTGGGCTGAATCCCCAATCTCCAAAACCCACTATCATGTCTTTGTACAAGGACTCATAAACTCCTTGTTGCCTAACTCGTTCCTGCAAATGTAAAACAAAACTTAATGAGCAATCAAATCTGTTGCGCCTCAGCGCCTATGGCTAATACTTAAGCGGTCAATTCGCTCCACTATGCTGAAGCCAATTGAGACACAAACTCCAGAATGTTCATCTTTTCTCGAAAGAGCTAATTCTAACATTGAAGAAATTGAAATTTATTAAAACAAACATACTACGTGATGGGGTAAAGTTTTAGACTACTCTAGTGTTCATTTTTTTAGGATGGAAGCTCAAATGTAATCATGTGGTTTTCATGACTCCAACAACCAAAATATAGTTAAGCCTTTGTTTGTTCCAAAGAAGGGATGGGAGAGGAAGAAAATGGGTCATCATCATCATTACCCCAGTGCCACTAAGGCTTCCACCTACGGAGGGGTAAGGGGGGGTCGGATGTACGCACCCATTTTCCATACTAAAGCACAGAAAGACTGTTTCCGAATGACCCATAGTGAAAATCGCGTCGAAAATTGCATAGATTGACTGTTACTTCATAACAAAGAAACGCAAACAGTTTAGTGAGTCATTTTGCTTTATTCCATAGAAAATGATGGAAAATGGGTGTGGTTAAAAAACCAAGAATAAGTATTTCTGGAAATTCTATAATAATAAAAACCCTATAAAATTTGTTGTAGTTAAAAGTATATAATGAGTATTTCGGTTACTTAAAAAAGGTAAAAGATATTAGGAGATGGATATGATGGGCTTGGAGCTATTAAAAGCTCCACCACTTTCCTCTCCCCTTTCCCTAACCAACCAAACACACACACACAACTAGCCTCCTCTGCTTTGCTGAATTTGCTCCCCTCTCAATGAGTTTAGGTGATAAAACTGAAACATTACAACAATTTATTGGGTTCTTTCAATTATATATATTCTCACAATTATGATATGAATGAATTGCATGTAGGCTTGTAGCACACATCTAGGAGACACAGATGGGGAAAACATAGATATGCTAGTAAAAAGCAACCTGCGCAATTTTCTGGGATGTGAAAAAATAAATTTTACACAAATGAAGCAACATTACCTGATTGTCATTAGGGGCGTCCATTAACTGTTTTATAGTTTCAAGGTCTTTGGGACAGAAAACACCCATGTTGCCTTGCAACATACTTAAAGAAGGAACCCACTTTTGAGTCATCCACCAATGGAACAGCCACGGAGCATAATGTGCCACTCTAAATGTCCGTTGGTCATGTAAAAGGTGTTTCTCCAGGCCTCCTTTTAATATTTTAGGAGGAAAACGAGACCACCAGTAGTGGACAAATGGAACGACAAGTGAAGCTCCTGCCAACCTGAAACAATTTGTTTACAAACTTTTAAGATGTGGAACTAGTGAAGGGTCAACGTCATAGAAGTAGTTCAAAACCTGATTTGAAATGTAAGTTCACATCATTTTATTTTGATCATATGGGATGACTAAACATGTCTTGCAACATGGTGACTTGTCGGATGCATAGTTCAATACCTTATGTGTGAATTTATTTGGTAGGGTTGGGTGAGTTAACACAACTCAAGCAAGACATTTGATAATAAAGATTGGAAAACAGACAAAAGCATAAAAAAAACAGTTCTAAAAGGAAAAGTATACCTGTGGGGTATATACTTTAGGCAGCTGTAAACAACATATGCTCCCATTGACATGCCAAGCACATAAAACTTAGGTCCTATTTTCAACTCATCGGCCAGCTCTTGAATGTCAAATGCTTCACTCTTCACTGTGCGTCTCGGATATGGGTCACTCTCCCCATATCCTGCACGATCATATGACAAGAGGTATATTTGGAGCTCTTCTATAAGTTCCTGGCATTGAAAATGATAAATATATGTATATACATCCACTACATTTCAGATTTGAACTTTTTCAGTGAATAATAAAGAGAGGAACTAGATAAAATCCTTACATTAAAAATAAGGATGAGAGTTACAGCAGATGTATACATTACAGGAAGATGAAAGACAAACAACATCTACTTAATCTCATCATGTAAAATTCTACTGCCATCCCAAATTTGCTTGCCAATAGCGCTTTACGAGATTCAAGTCATGCTAGAAGTGAACTAAGGTCTGAATTAGTATTACTAATTAAAGTTTATATTTCAAAAACAGCACTAAAAGTTCTGTTATTATATCTCTCTTGTATTGCAAACAACAAAACATGGTGTACCATAATACAAATAAAAAATGAATAATCCAAAAGGAGTGAATGACAAGGGAAATGAATGAGTTGGCTATTCTGCAAGTTGCAAATTATGGGCCATTAACTTACAGGAGCAATGTTCATTCTTCGGTTGGGTACAAGCAATGTTTGAGCAGCTAGGAGAGGAAGATTTATGCAGGTTTGTTGTATGTTTATGGAGCATTTGGAAACACAGAAACAATAAGGTTTGGAAGGATCAAAGCTTCTGTAAAAGGAGTGTAATAGCAGGGGCAGTAGCAATGCTAAGTGGTTGGCGTCAGGCGCAAGGAAGGGGGAAAAAGGCAGTGGGAGCAAGCGGTGAAGGAGGAAAATGGGAGAGGCCAATACCGGGATGGATTAAGATAAATGTAGACGCTGCAATCAATCATCACACCGGCACTAGGGCATGGGATGGGTAGCTCGAGATGAGAACGGTCAATTTATACAAGGCCGTAGAGAAGCTGTAAAAGCGGAGTGGCCACCATTATTAACGGAGGCAGTGGGGGTAAGAGAGGCATTGGTGGGGGTAAGAGACGCATTGGTTTAAGCCAATTTTAAACACAAATATAAACTTTAGGGTTAATTTCTGCAAATCGTGTTGCTCATTATCTAGCTAGAGCAGCCGTTTTCTTGCCAGGTTGTAAGGACACCTATACTACCGTGCCCGATTGCATTGTAAGACACTTGGCTAATCATTGTTTGAATTAATCTATATGAAAGTTTCCCATAAAAAACACTTACAGGAGCAATGGATATTATGCATTGCTCAATTCCATCCATACAAGTGAACACACAAAAAAAATGACTGAAAGTAACTTCATACTTGTGAGATAGGCAACTCCAAATCTTTAGAGTTATCAAATCCATGGACAATAATGATCTTGTATCTGGCTTTTTCTTTGGACACACCCCTCTCTCTGTAAGCTAGATGTCTCCCATCACTGAGCTTAATCCTTGGAGAAGTCACTGGAGGACCACCTGGTGACCCACAAACTTTGGGAGGAGGAGGCTTAAGTAGAGCCAGGTAAGCCCACCCCAGCGCACCAACTGTTGCAGCAACTGCAATTTTAATCATAACTGGAAAATGATGTGAACAAGAGCTTATCAGGAACGTCAAGAGAGAACTGTGTATTCCATATAATATAAAAATTTTGGTGTATTCAACGTAGATTTTTAAAAGTCTAAAAAAGTCTGTGTATTCATAAACTTTTAAAAGTCTAAAAAAGTCTGTGTATTCAAACTTTCATTCATTCTTATGGATTTTTAAAACCAAGTTTTCTCACAGACGTGTAACTCATTCTTAGTATATTAATTCTCTGCAATCGTCTCTTCTTCTTATCAAAGATTTCTATGAACTTTTTCTTTTGTCAATTCTACTCGTCGCAAGTGTACGCGGAGATCCGATTCCAGAATAAGACTAAATTTGGCTAATTATTTACTTGGTATCACAAACCGACCAACCGATCATGGACTAGTACCGGGTCAAGAGGCGGGTACCAGAATAGTCTCGATAGGCGGGGTCAACCCCGGCGATGGTGACGGACGGGGCGAGATTCTGGCATATCGGCGGTGAAGATTTGGGGGGATTCCGATTTAAAAGTTTATGGGTTCTGCAAATCAACAGAATTCATTAATAAAAAGTTTATGGATTTAGGGTCTGTTTGGATGGAAGGAAAGGTTTTAGAGGGAGTCGCAATAAATAGAATGCCTTAATAAACTAATAAAAGGTTATTTATTTTTTCAAATTAATATATACTAGTATAGTACCCGTGCATACGCACGGGATAGAGCGGTTGGTGCATATATTTTTTACTCATGATCTAATTAAATATTAAAATAGAAACAACTTTTTAGGATTCTACATTTTCGAAAAAAATTGTAATTCAATCAGCTAATACCTTAAAATATATATTCAATGAAGAGTATATTAGGAAAAATTAATTGACACTACTCATTAGAATTTGCTGCTTATTCATTTCCATGATTAGATTAATTATAAAATTAAATAATAATTCTAAAAAAGTGAGTACAATAAATATTAAAATCAATGAATATTAGTTAAATAATAACTCCATTCATTAGTAAATTCGTGCTAACATATGTGAGAGAAAATTATTCTGCTCAATTCTTAGTTGGCTTATCTTGTCATATCTAAAACAATTACATATGAGAAAAAAATCTTTCACTCAATTGTTAGCCTTATTATCTTACCTTATACCTAAAAGCACTATGTGTGAGAGAAACAAATATGTTCTTTAATTGTTAGCCGACTTATCTAATACTACAAAGAACTACATATATGATGATATCCTCGCTCAATTGTTAGCAACTTTATCTAGCTTCTTATAACTAAAAGCACTATATATGAGAGAGAAATTTTTCACTTAATTATTAGCAAGCAAGCTTATCTTGTCATATCTAAATAGACTACATATGAGAGAGAAAGTTTTCTCGTTCAATTATTAGTCGACTTATGTTATACCTAAAAGCACTACATATGGAAGGGTAAATTTTCACGCTCAACGGTTAGCTGGATTATTTTATATGCGGAGTACTTAAGAACTACCCGTAAGAGTGAAAGTTCTCTCACTCAATTGCTAGCAAGTTTATCTTCTTAGCTTCTTATGCCTAAAAATACTACATATGAGAGAGAAAGTTATCTTGCTCAATTGTTTAGTCTTCTTATCTTATACTCAGAACTACATATGAGGGAGAAAGTTATTCCTCTCAATGGTTAGCAAGCTTATCTTCTACTATGTAATACCTAAAAACACTACATATGAGCAATAAAATTCTCCCGCTCAATTCTCCTTCTCAATTGTTAGCAATCTTATCTTCTAATACCTAAACACACTACATATGAATGAAAAAATCTTCTGATCTCGCTCAATTATTAGTAAGCTTATCTTTTTTTTTATATCTAAAACTCTTACATATGAGAGAGAAAGTTTAGCTCAATTGTTAGCTGGTTTACCTCATACCTAAAAAAACTACATATGAGGGAGAGAAATTATTTCGTTCAATTGTTAGCTGGATTATTTTATACCTAAAAGAAATATATATGAGAGATAAAGTTCTTTCGCTCAATTGTTAGCAAGTTTATCTTCTAATAACTAAAAGTAGTACATATGAGATAGAAAATTCTCTCGCTCAATTGTTAGCCGGCTTGTCTTATACCCAAAAGCACTATATATGATACAAAAAATCCTCTCTCTCAATTGTTAGTTGGATTATGTTATAGTTAAAATAACTGCTTATTGAGAGAGAGGGAAATATCTTGTTCAATTGTTAAGACGATTTATGGCTTAATCTTTCTTATACCTAAAATCACCACATATGAAAGAACAAATTTTTCCGCTCGATTGTTAGTTGACTTATATTACTATCTTACTGAAAAGCACTACAAATGAGAGACAAAGTTATCTCGCTCAAGTGTTAGCCAACTTATCTTATACCTAAAAACATTACATATGATAGAGAAATTTTGGCCGCTCAATTGTTAGTCGACTTATCTTATACTCCCTCCGTCCCAAAAACAACTTCCCAGTCACTATTCATTGGTCAACTTGAATCACTCGTAATCTTTTACTTTTTATATCAAATTTTTATCAAATTTAAATTTTATTGATCAGGCTTTGTAGCGGCTTTAATGTAGTTTCTGAATATGTAAATTTTATTTACTAAAAATAATCCGAGTGTGAGCAGGGATCGAGTTGCTTTATCGTCAGTCAAGCATCGTAAACCGAACGGGAAGTTAATTTTGGGACGGAGGTAGTACTTAAAAACACTACAAATGAGAGAGAAACTTATTCCGCTCAGTTCTCATCCAACTTATCTTATACCTAAAAACATTATATATAAGAGAGAAAACTATCCCGCATCCTTAAAGTTGTAACCTCACTCAGTGTTACATTTACTATTCACCTGATTCCTTGAAATTGATGAAATTTTGACAGAAGTGACTGAATTGATTGAAATTGATTCTTTTGATTTATGGATGAATTTAGTTCAAATTATATATTATTAATGAAGTAAATAAAAGATTATAGGAAAAGTGGTTAAAAATTATTATGTACAGTAATTTCAGCCAAATAAGTCAATTTTTTTATAAAATTAAACTTAAATAGATCAAAGCACTTAAAAAAACCAAAAATGATGAATAAATATTTTCATATTTGCCCCTTTTTCCTTAAACATAAAGAATAATAAATTGAAATAAATTTAGAAGTTTTGTTTTATTAGCACTCGATGTGTTTATCATTTCAATTTGCTAATTTTATATATTCTCGAGTGACATTATAACAGGAAGAAATATGGTTTGTAATAGTTTTATAGTTTAATGAAGGGAGTATAATAGAAAATGAAAATAACATTAGAGTTTTATTAATCGTAGTGTTGAAGAATTCAAATCATTTATTGTCTTCCATTTAGACCAACTCAAAACAGAAAAAAAAAAAAAAAAAGACCAACTTAAATTTTATTATAAGAACTAATTAGATTTTCATTTGCGGATTTTTTATATATCAAACCAGTGCACATCAAATTATAAAATACTTTAAGAAAGTTTTCTTAAATAAATTTTAATATTTTTATATTTTTCCTTCCATGGTCTGATTTTAATTTTAAAGACCGTTTAGAAGTACTGAAATTAGTTGAAACTGTTGAAATGGATGAAATTCTGAGAGAAGAGGTTGAATTAGTTGAATCTTCTGGTGTATGGATACATTTAATTTAAATTACTTTTATTAATTAAATAAAGAAAAACATTATCTGAATTTTAAGCATAATTATAGAGATTGTTAATAAATTATATTTTGATATATTCAAAATTGATCTCATATGTAAGATCACAAAAAATTATGAGTTTTGATTTTTTTTTTGTAGAAATTGGATTAAAAATGAAACAGTTTTAACACTTTAAAGAAAAACATTACTCCCTCTGTCCCTAAAAGAAGTTTCATTTCGCTTATCGAGGGTCAACTTAAATCACTCTTAAACTCTTACTTTTTATATCAAAATTTTATAAAAGTTGAATTATTTTTTGCAGGCTTTGTAGCGGGTTTAATGTAGTTTCTGAATATGTAAATTTTTTTTACTAAAAATAAAATGAGTTTTCACAGGTATCATTTAACTTTATCGTCGGTCAATTTTAGTATCTACATGTGAGAGAAAAACTCTCCTGCTCAATTTCCCTACTCAACTGTTTGCAAGTTTATCTTCTAGTATCTAGTAGATACATATGAGAGAGAGAGAAATTATTTCGCTCAATTATTAGCAAGATTATCTTCGTATAATTAAAAGGCTAAAACCACTACATATGAGAGATAAAATTCTCCCGCTCAATTATTAGTCAACTTATCTCATATATTATACTTAAAAGAACTACACATGAGACAGAAAGTTCTCCCATTCAATTGTACTTCGTAATAATAATAGGGAAATTGCTCTAAATAGGAGTAAACAACTTTGGGAATTCCAAAATAAGACCACTATGTTATTCTTTCTGAAATAAGAGTTGTTGTTGTCATGAGAGAGAAAATTCCCGTCTTACCGTATACCAAAGAGCACTATATATGAGAGAGAAAATTCCCGTCTTTCCCACAATCGAGCACATCAACACCTTATCAGCCCTCGATAGCATTTCAAAAAAGCGGTCAATTCTTGCATGCCGAGAGGTTATGCACCATTCAGTTTCCTCTAAAAATTATTTGATGTAAGTGTTGTTCCTGATCTTCCACATCCTCATTACTTAATTACATAATTCCGTTTTTAATTTACTTTATAATGTTAGATTGTTAAGACTTTGATTTTTTTGTTCATACCGAGTACGAAGTATATCTTAACAAATGGAAGAACTTCTGCTTTATAGGTTTATTATTATGAGCCCGTTTGGTGTCCTTGTACATTTTAAATATAATTTTCCATAAACAACATAATTAGCAAACCAGTCATTTTAGCCAAAACTTCATAAATTATATTTCAGCGGAACAACCGATCTAGTCAATTTCAGTTTTACCAAACGAACGTTATGAATAGTATGAACTTTTGATTTGATCGATTCACATGTAAAATTTCTCGTCCTACTAATTGTGTGATCTTTTATTACATTATGGACATTGTTTAAAAAAAATGATATGCCCGACCTCTAAAAATACTACTTTAAAGAAGGTAATGCATATAATGTATATGTGACTTTATTTAGCAAGTTTGACATTATTTTTTAAACTCTATTTCCTGAAATCATTACACATGAGATAGATAATTTTCTCTCACTCAATTGTTAATCGACTTATCTTATACCTAAAATTTTCTCCTCAATTCTATAAGAACCATATCATTTTGTCATTCATTGGTAAATCAACTTTGATTCTCTCTCACCAAAACTATGATACTATGAACATGACTAAAAATGTGATTTGAAGTCAAGGAATTATATGGTACTCTTTCTATGACTATGTACATGATAGAGATCTTTTTGGAAATAATATTTGATCAATAGAGCATGCTCATAAGTCTGTCTCGTTTGTATGTACAAAATTGAAAGTTCACAATAGTAATCAAATTCAAGTATATTTGTAGCTTTGAATCACATACATGTTACTATCATAGAGATATTATTTCAACATGTTGATTTTTAATTATGAAATGTGATTTTTCAAGATTCTCATTTTTTATTGTTAAGAAATCCTTTTTTCAAAAAGCCCTTTTTATTACCCACTGATCTATTGTTTCTTTCATGTTCTAATTTTGATACTTAGAGCCGGTTTAGTAACACTGAAATTGGCCGGCTAAATTGTCTCGTCCTTTTGAAATTGATGAAATTCTCATAAAAATGTCTGAATTGGTTGAAATTGATTCTTTAGATTTATGGATGAATTTAATTTAGATTATATTTCATTAATGAAGTATATAAAAAATTATATGAAAAGCGGTTGAATTAGTTGAATCTATTGGTTTATGGATAAATTTAATTTAAAATAATTTTATTAATGAAATTAAGAAAAACATTATATGAAAAGTAGCTAAAAAGATCACATACAGTAACTTCCTTTATTGAGACAACAAAATAGATCATAAATTGAATATAAATAGTTATAAGCATAGTTATAGAGATCGTTAATAAATTATATTTGTATATATTCGATATTGATCTCATATGAAAGATCACAAAAAATTATGAATTTTGATATGATTTTTGTAAAAATTGGAACAAAAATGAAAAAGTTATAATACTTTAAAAAAATTGGGGTTTTTTATAGGTTGGGCCCCACCAAATGAAAATCCTACGGCTGCTCCCCTTCCATTTCAATTGGAGAAGTTCGGTACTTTGGAGTGAAAAAAGCCACGTGTCATTTTTATAGAAAATGAGAGAATTGTGGAGAGTTTGACACATAGGATTAATGAAGGGTAAAATAGTATTTTTATGAGCTATTTCTTTTCTTATATATAAATAGATGGATTTGAGATGGCATATAGGCTAAGCCTTTCAAACCCCTCAATCCAAAGAAACCTTGAGGGACGTTTTTTTAACAAAAATCTTTCATTAGGGGATTGAGAATATCATCTGTAATTGAGAATGAGAAATTGGACGTTTGGACCATTCTTTACTGGCTGTTAACAATCTGGTCCATCCACTTTATGGAGCTAGTCCTGCAATTGTTAGTATACCCCATTTTGTAATGGTGATTTAGCGTACATTTTCCCGATTAATAACCTCACCATGTGGGGATTTCTAAGAAATCCCCTTATTCTTAGAGGTGCTTTTGGAACTTGGAAAATGTTTGGGAAAGAATTGGGAGGATATATGGGATTTTTTAAAGGATGTGAAATATGGAGAATAATAAAATATTAGCTCAAATTGATATTTTTTATTGTTTCTATTAGATAAATGATGTCAGAACTTAGAAGGTATAAAAATATTAATCATATTTCATTTGCCTTCTTACTTTCGAAACCAAACACTGGAAAATAAGTTTCCAGGATCCAAACATTGCCCAAAGTATATAGGGACTAGATTGGCAACAATTAAGCGACCGCAATTATCGAATTAAAAGTGTAAACAGAGTGGTCAGTCAATTACAATGGTGATTGTGAAGTATTGTCATGAATCATGATCAACTGTTCTACCAGCGTGCTTGTGATTATAATTATTTATAAGAAAAAAGCTTACAAGGTCGAAGATGAAGAGAGAAAACAAAATCATCAAATCATATCAAGAAAATCACACAAACTTGGCAGACGATATTGTGAAATCAGCAGCAAAAAGAGGCGAGAAGAATGTGAAACTCACTTGGGTAAAACAGGAAGATGACAATGGTGATTGGCAGTCTGAGCTCTGTACCTGAGAGGCTGAGAGGGTTGGGGCTTTTTCAGTACCTGACCAGTAGAAGCAGACAGGTCAACACCAGACAACAGCAGCCACAAGAAAAACAAAAATGCTTCTTGTACACACACTTGTACACACCATGTACACACTATAAAAGGATTTTAATTTTTTACCCCGATTCCACATCTTTACCCATTTTCTTCCCACTCCCCTCACATCCCTCTATTACGCCACACCCCTCTCCTTCTCCATCTCAACCCTTCTCCTCTCTTTCTTCTTTTTCATCCCTTCTCATTTCACTTCTTTACTCCCTTTCCAACTTCCAGAAATAAACTTTTAGGTGGTCACATGTCTTCAGTCCAAGCTCATCAACGGTGTTTTTGCAGCTGGAATCCGTGAAGAAGGCGTGGATGAGAGGTCGATTTGAGCCGGTCGTACAAGAAGCCCTCATCAACTAGTCCATAAATTGAGGTAATAACTTATTCGATTTTTCTTTTGCAAAAAATAAAAAACCTATTCGATTTTTCTATATGCACCTTAGGTTTTTGTTTTTCAATGGACTTTAGGGTTTTGTTTATTTAAAATTTCTGATTATTTGTGTATAATGTATGGTATAACACTGATTAGTTGAATATTTTGTATTATTGTAAGAGAATGTAGTGTTAACTATTGAAATTTTAATTCAATTACTCTATTTCAAATTTATGCTCATAACATGTTTGATGAAATCACTCAATGATTTTTTTTTTGCTTAAATTCAAGACTTTTACTCTCCTTTTCTTGACTCATTCTTTTTTGTTAATTGGTTCAAGATTCTAGTTTTCTTGTTTTCCAATTTGAATAATGATGTAGACATTTTTATTGACATATTAATATGTTTATTATGCTTTTACTAGTATATTAGTGCAATGTTAGCCTATAAACTTTATTGTACATGGATCAATCCATGTAAGTATGTTAAGGAGGGTGTCTTCAAAGTGGATTTTAATGGAGTTTTAAAGATTGTGGATTTGGTGGAATTTAATGGAGTGTTACGGATTCTATGAGAATTTTATTGGATTTCATTGGATTTCACTTTGATGGAATTATTTAGGTTTTAATGGATTTTAGCACTTGGAGAGTTGTATTTTTTGACATAGCAGGTTACCTGTGCGTTTCATCTCATCTATATCTGTGTTTCATCTTATGAAGCTAATGGAATTGAACAACCAGTAAGGGCATGGAAGAAGAACACGTGGGTTGCACTCGTAGGGGTGTCGGGCAGCTTTACGCCACTGGGGATCTGCAGCTCGGGGTTGCAAGGTTGCTCTCTGGGGATCTGCAGCACAACAACCGCCTACATGCACTCGAAGGGGAGCCGGACAGCTGCTTTGAAGATGTGACCCATTCCGGCAGCACAACTGGTAGGGGAGTCAGACAGTTCTCTTTTATGTTTGATTCTTGATTCTTTTGTGTCCGCTCTCCGGGCAACAATAACTCATCCCCTCACACCCTACGTTCAGTTATAACCATTAGCAAAAGTCCAGTTGAGTATCTGAACACCATGTAAAACGATATGACAACCAAGACTGCTCTGTATTTAATCATATTTGGTGGGTCTCCTTTGCAGCATCAATCAAAACATGCTACTGGACACTGTAGAGACACTCCTCTACACCTTCATCCTTTTAGCACACCCTTAATGGGGTCATAATAATGTTAAAGAAGACTAAAAAAAATGTAAGCTACTAAAATTGAGGTATGTTTAAAGTTCTAAAGGCAGTTTTAAGATCTTTTGAAAGTTTCTAATCCAGGTTGCAGGTTGCATTTTGTTTATAAACTTTAAAAGTTTTGATTTGTTCTTTTTTATTGGAGGTTGATTCTGGCGTTTGGCGGTGGCAGTGGTAAGGTGGCGACAGAATTCTGGCGACTAGCGAGGACGCCGGAGTTTTGACGAATGACGATCTAGCAATTTGCCATCTTGCGGGGCTACAATGAAAGTAGTTGCTTCTCAAACAAAACAACTGCTGAAAAGGTCTCAAATTGGTCCAACATTGTTTTAGCTTATAAGCCCGTTTGGAGAAATAAAGACCTTTGACTTGTTGCAAGTACAATTGTCATACTGTTCAAGTTTAGCATCTTCTAATTTACACAGCTGGTGTTATTTCAGAATCTTTTGTATAACAATTTGAGTAATTAATGAAAAGTTTGATCTTTTTTTGTATAACAATAGCCATTGTGATAGGCTAATGTGCTAAGTGAAATTGTCTGTACAGATATGAAGTGTCTTGTCATAGACAATAGTGATAGCGAGTTAATATGGTAAGTGAAATTGTTTGTGAACCATATATAAAGTGTTTGGTCACAGACAATAACCATTAAAGCGAGTTAATATGATAAGTAAAATTGTTTGTGAACTAGATTTAAATTGTCTGGCCACAGACAATAATCACTTAAACAAACTAGTAAGTTGAGATGAATTGTCTTTGAACCAAGTATGAAGTGACTTCTCATAATTTTCTATTCCAATTGAAATTGCGAGAAATTGTCTATGTTCACTTCTATTGTCTGTGTGCGCTTAAAACATTGTTTGTGTATTGATTTATTTCTTTTTGTGCATAGAAAATTATTTTTTGTATGTTCATTTATATTTTCTATGCATTATTAAAACATTGTCTATGAACACTAGAAAACATTGTCTATTTGTTCATTCCTTTATTTTATCTGTGCGTAGAAAATACGAAGTAATTTTTTATGTGTTTGTTTATATTTTCCGTGCGTGGCAACAAGCTTACCTAAAATTATTTTGTTTGCGAGCATCATAGATAGGCCTGGACTCGGGCCGGGCGGCCCGACCCGGAACCGGCCCGGCCCGGCCACTGTAGCAACCGGCCCGGCCCGGTGGCCCGGTCCACCGGCGGTTCGGGTCGAACCGGCCCGGTGGTTCCCGGTTCCGGGCCCGGGCCTTCCAAATGGTGAACCGGCCCGGCCGGTTCGGGCCCGGTCCGGGCCGGATTTTAATTTTTTTTTTTTTTTTTGAAATTTTTTTAAAGTTTTGGGTTGGAATAGGTATTTTGGGCCATTTGAGGTGGTTTGGGGTTGAGGGGGAGGGGTAGGGGATTATATAGGAGAACAAAAAAAAAAAAAAAATAAGTGGGCCGGTTCGGCCCGGCCCGGTTTGGCCCGGAACCGGCCACCGGCGGTTCGGGCCCGGGCCTCCCATTTCCTGGCCCGAGGCCCGGCCGGGCCCAGGCCCGAACCGGGCCCGAACCGGCCCGAGTCCAGGCCTAATCATAGACATTCTATTTTTAAAAGAATCACCATCTCAAACTAAAAAGCATTAGGCTAATAGCACAACTTCAATTCCTTTAGCAACATTCAAAGTCATTTTCATAATACAAAAGATAAAGTTTGAAAACACAAGCAACTCTAATGATACTATCATTGTAAATACAAAAATATTAACTTCACAATTTGATTAATTAAGAAAGTTAATAGCACAACATTGCATTTAACTCCTATCCAACTCTGCACATTGAGATGAAGCAAGTAGTAGTGGCTTTTGCAACAAGATAAATTCCTCCAATGGTTCAAACTGCAAAACAAAAAAAACTAATGTTCAAATAGTCAATTGATACTTATCAAATAAAATAGTCAAACAATGAGCATATAGAATAATGATTTAAACTGCAAAAAAAGGTTGAACTACAAAACTAGAAAATAAAAAATTGCCCAAGATAAAATAAATCAATCATTTTTGTGGGATACATCCTAAACAAGACATGATAAACAAGTGGATTAATCTGTAAAACAAGGCCATTGATAGTAATCATTTCCTTAGCAAAATAAATCCATTTCTGGGTTCCAAATAAAGTACAATGAACAACAAAAAATTAACCGAACAACCTTGAACATGAGCGTTGCTCCTTTATATTGCTTAGAAACATTTTAACGGTGCTAAGAAGTGTGTTCAGATCTTTCTTAAAATTCAATCAATGTTTAATTTAACATCATGGTTGTAACTTTTGGTACAAATTTGCTTGCACATATTTGCCGTAGTAACAGCTCCCAAACTGATGCTATAAACAAATGATAGTATATAAGAAATGCAAACTTTAGGATTGAAAAGTAAAAGTATAATAAACTATTGTGATCGCTAAGAACCACAATTTGTGACTTATACTGCTATAAATATTGTCTTAGCGGTCAAGTCTTGTTCAACATCTTTTAGTAAATTTCTTTTTTCATTTACAAGCAGCTCATTGATTTCTATATTCCATCTAAAAGGTCAAGGGTTGAATGATGGAAAAAGGGCTTTCTACCATTGTGGTATAATTACAACAACAAAGACATCTCAGGGAAGATCTGTATTGAATGTGCATTATGCTCTGATTTTGACCTTTGCATCGGATTCTTTTTAGATGTACATCCTCACAATAAAAATACCTACATCATTATTAAAATTGGGAAACAAGAAAACTAGAATCTTGAACCAATTAACAAAAAACAATCTGTAAAAAAAAACAATCAGTAAAACAATCACTAGAATCAAATGGGTTATTACCTCAATGTATGGGCTGGTTCACCTGGTTGATGGGGGCTTCTTGTACGAGCGGCTCAAATTGACCTCTCATCCATGCCTTGTGCACCGATTCCAACTGCAAACACCCCTAAAAGTTTATTTCGAGAATTTGGAAAATGAAAAAAGAAGTGAAATGAAGAAAGGAAAAGGAGAAAATGTATAAAGAACCCAATAAACAAGGTAGAGAAAATTATAGGTTAAACTTTACATTGAAGAGTGGCTGCTTGTTGGGAAAGAAGAAGTAGATCAACTGTCTTTATATCTTCCGTTGGAATGAGTTTGAGCTTGGGTGGAGGGAAAAATGGGGGAGGAAAAGGGGGCAGAAAATGGCGTAGAAGAGCTGGATGGGGGAGAGGAGAGATGGGGCGTACAACAAAGTTGGGGGAGAGAGGAGAAATGGGGGAAGAGGTAAATGAGATGAAAGGGGGTAATTATTTTTGGGAGTATATATAGTGGGTATATGGTGGGTTTTAAAATGGGTACAAAGAGCATTTCTCCAAGAAAAAATACGAAGTACTCCGTAGTCCGTACTTCCATTTTTTTTGGTATTTTTGGGAAAATAAAGATCTTAATTGGATTCAAATTTTCTAATATGATCTGACTCGTTTTGATCTATTTTGTTTATGTTTGGGTTGGTTT